CCCCGCTGCCCACCACCACCCCCGCCACCCCCACCTCCTCCGTCGCCGCCGCCACCTCCACCCCTACTCCCGCTGCCTCCGCCGCCTCCACCTCCACCGCCGCCACCTAAGCCCCCAGTCCCGCCACCACTCCCACCTCCACCCCCACCCCCTCCTCCTCCTCCACCGCCACTCCCGCCGCCCCCGCCGCCCCCTCCACCCCCCTTGCCCCACTTGCCCTTGCTGTTGCAGCGCTTGCCACTAGGGGCAGACGCAGTGCTGACCGACTCGGTGCCAACGAGGTCGACAGCAGCAGCAGAGGCAACAGAGGGCAAAAGAGGGACGGGGGAGCACCCCTCAAAGAAAGGGGCACGGGGGTCACCACGAGAGGCTCCTACAGCGACTATACTCTTCTCAGCTGCAAGGAGGCGCTCCTCGAGGAGGTCAACGGTGAGCGTGGTGGGGCGAAGAGAGAGGAAGTGGTCCCTGATGGAGCAAAGGGAGTCAGGGAGCCGGGTAACGAGGTAGTAGAGAGTGATGTACATAGGGGGGGGGTTCTTGGCGCAGAACTCGGTAGGAAGCGCAGCGCGGTAGCGGGTGTCACTAGTGCGAAGGTGCGTAATGAGGTCAGCGACTGTGGCAAACGCAGCTAGGTCAGGGAACAGGTACGGCAGCATGAGGCGGCTAAGGGCAGCAGTGGCAGGGGAGGAGTAGCGCGCAACAACAGCAGTGTACAGAGTGCTAGCAGTCTTGTACTGGCTAAAGTGTGCGCGCTCAGCAGAAGGCAGGTGACTACGGACAGCAAGACGGGCAGCAGCATCGCGCGTGATCCACTGTGAGCGAACAGTACTGGCAGCATCAGCAGCAGGTGCAGCAGAGGCGCCAGAGGTGAGATCAAACAGTGAGATACCGTCCTTGCTATCGCACTGCAGGAAAAGCTGCAGATCATCGATCCAGACCTCAAAGTCGACAGCTCGACCCTCAGCATCGAAGGTAAGCACATTGGGACTAGCCATGACAGCAGCAGCAGCAGGCTAGTAGCAGTAGCGGCAGCGGCAGCAGGCTAGCAGCGCGACTCGGCTAAAGGGCGCGGCTCGGCAGGGCGGCGCGGCTCGGCAGGGTGGCGCGGCTCGGCGGTGCGCTTACCAGGGGCGGGGCCGCAACTGGGCGGCAGGGCAGGGCCGCGGCTCGGCTGTAGGGCAGGGCCGGGGCAGTAGTGACAGCAGCAGCGGCGGTGGCTCGCAACACCGGCGGAGGCAGGCTCGGCGGCGGCGGCAGGGACAGCAGCTGCTGCAGGGCTCCTCGGCGGCTGCTGCAGGTGGAGGCCGCAGCCGGCGAGAGGGGCAGGGCGGGGCCGTAGCGGCGAGTCGACGCGGGGAGCCGGCGACGGCAGCTGCTGCAGGGGCGGCGAAGAGCCGCGAAGGGCCGCGAAGGGAGGCCGCGAAGGGAGGCCGCGAAGGCCGCGAAGGTCCGTAAGGGGGCCGCGAAGGGCCACGAAGGGGCCGCGAAAGGCAGCGAGGGGGCCGCGACGGGGGGGCTGCGAAGGACCGCGAAGGGGCCGCGAAGGGCCGTGAGAGGGGCCGCGAAGGGCCGCGAAGGGGCCGCGAAGGGCCGCGAAGGGGCCGCGAAGGGCCGTAAGAGGGGCCGCGAAGGGCGCAAAGAGGCCGCGAAGGGTCGTGAAAGGGCGCGACGGGGCGCTTAAGGGCAGGCACGAAGCGCGCTTCGGGCAGGGTAGGAAAAAAAAATATTCGAAGTGGTGGGCCCAAGGGAAAACGGTCCCACTAGGGAACCCGCTCTATACCATGTGAGAAAACTAGCGAGGAATGAATTGACTAGAAATGAGTTGGGTACAAATGGGGAAAACTAGAAATGTAGTACCCCCTATTGTCTAACCCACTACAGCCTAAACAGGCTATAACATAAGTTTGACAGATTGGATCGACTTGTGCGATGCGCGGAAATTCAATGTCGTCGTAGTAGCGAAAAGCTCTGCGGCGCACCATGCAGCTTAAGACCGACCCTTTTCCTTTGTCTTTGGATGAAATGCGTGCAGGAGTTTGTGAAGTGATTGCGACAGAGGGTGGCGACAACGTCGCTGTCGCAGCTCGAGTTGAGGAGGGCGCTGAGGGCTGTTGACCAGGTGAGTTGTTGCCGCGTCTTTTGTTAGCAGCTTTGCGCTTGTAGCATCGGTCCATGGTGTGACCTGGTTTCTTGCAGTATTTGCAGAAGAGCCATTTCTTCTCTTGTAACTCCCCTTCCGTTGCTCCAACGAAGAACACGGATTTCTCCCGCTTGCTGTTCTTCTCATTGTACAGATCAATCTCCTTCTGCTCGGAGAGGAGTGTGGCGCAAAGAGCGGACTCAGAGATGGTTGCTCGAGCGCGGAGCAACGACTGGCATTGACGCCAATCGGGTTCCTAGTCCAGAGAGAACCATCAAGACGAACATGTCGTCAGGGACAGTTCTGCCGCACTTCTTGAAAAGGTCGTGCAGATTGCGGCACTGATTGATATATGGTCCCGCTTTCTCCCCTTGATGCATTTTAACTGATGTCAGTTGATTGAGCAGGCGACTCATGGTAACCGGATCCGTTGCCATGTATGAATTGCGCAGATGCTCCCAAGTCACTTGCGCGAGTGCCCACTCGGATTTGTAGGAGCGGATGCCAAGCTGCTCGACGGGGGAGAGATTTTAGAGAAGAGCGATTTACGCGAGAAGAGACTCGTGGTAGTACCGATTCTTCTCCTGGATGGTTCCTTCCGACGGAAAAGGTAAGCTCCCGTCGTAGTACATCCAGATCTGCGCCATTGTTGCGAGGAGCTCAAACTTGAAGCTCCACGTGTAGAAATCCTTGCCGTCAAATTGAGTTGAAATTTTCAGCTTTGAGGTCAAAACGAACTTTGTTTGCATGGTTGCGATTGCCTCTGTTTGTGCGCGTTGTTGACTGTCGTGCGCAGGAGCTGAAGCTTGACGGTTGTCAAAGGTATAAGATCTCTCGGAGTTGACGCGGCGGTCTTCTCCTGGGAGAGGCATTCCAGCAACTCCTCTTGCGTAACTTGAGCCGTCAATGCTCATGGCTTGATGGCTCTCAAGAGCATTGATACGAGAGACGAGCTGCTCAACGAGGGCGGCGCTGACGGAAGTCATCGCTGATGGCGCAGTAGTCGTTGCTGGTGGTGGTGGGCCCGGGGAGTCTGCAGTAGCTTTCCCTTCATGAGCCATAGTGATGCAGACTTGTATCAGGTACATTAATGAATAAGTTTATAAGGAGTTTGTTCTAGGAAGAACAATAACTTGGCAGGTCTTATAATGCATTCTAGCTCTCATACCATGTTGATATAACCAGGAATCGTAGTGGATAGGATAAGAAATGTTAAGTTGTAATGAAGACAATGAAGTTTTGAAGTGACCTTGTTAATAATAGTTGAAAGAGAACAACATGAAATTTAGATAGAAGTGCAAGGATATAAATAGCAATCTAGCTAGCCATATACTCTGAGGGGTACATTCCCTTATTAACTGTTTTGCATTGCTACAGTAACCGCGACTATTACTCTTCTCGACAGTTATCATGTTGCATCGTGTAACCTCCGAGTACGGTTACTGGACGGTCAACAGTCACGACTGTTGACTAACTGCAACTGTTGACCTTCGAGTGACTCTCGAGCTGCTGCGTGCTTTATATGAGCTATTTGTTGACTACTATTGCTACTAAGCACACCTTTAATTCGCTCTTACTAGTCCCCACGGGGTCACCTCCAAGGGTCCTCGGGTGCCTGGCAAAGCCAGCCCCTAACCAAGGGTCCGTGTTTGTAGAGGGACACACCAAGTGCAAAAGAATCGTGTGCAATAGAGCTCTCCCAAAAGCTCCTTGCGCAGCGTTATGACGACGAACTGGTCGTGTGCAGAAAGTTCTCTTCACGTCAATACGATGATAGAGAAAAACTTCACTGAAAGGATGGATTACAACCGAACACAAGCACGCATTTATATTTTGCCTAACACACAAGCACAAGAAATCACAAAGCAGTTGTTTAACTGGACTTCAGGACTTCGCCAACTTGTCCTTGAAAACGGTTGTCAAACCCCTGTCGATTTTGGCTTGATTCGCCTCTGTAGAATAACTGTCTTCAAAGTTCATATCTGCCAAACGCCCCTGCTGACTGCTCCCACAAGCGTTCACGAATTCGGATGACTAATTATGAAGACTCGTGTGGGATTACCGTTTTCACGAAGCCTTACAGTTGAAAAACGGATTTCACCGTTTTGTCCCTGTACTGAAATTGTCGCGTTACGCGCGCGACCTTTCCGACGAAGTTACCTGTAAGCCGAGTCAACGCGGGATTCGGTTTTTCAACCGTAATCCCGAGCTCTCGCTTGACCGCAATCATGCGCTGTCCTGCGCGTGGGCAGGGCGATCATTCGCCCTGTCCTGTTGCGATCGTTTTTTTTTTTTTTTTTTTTTTTTGGCAATGCAAGTTACACTATAGCAGCACATACAAGCATTAACAGTCGTAACTGTAGCTGATGGGCCTAGACAACAGCCTGTCATCGTACCCATCCTGACAACTTAAGGGGGATGGAAAATCGTGCGTGGATTGGCCCAGATGGAGGTGAAGCCACTGGTCCACGCAAGCGATTTTGCCGAGCTGTCACAGACCCTGCTTACCAGACGAAATTCGTCCGGATCCAACCGTTCCAGGATGGAACGTTGCCCCGGCCCCAGCATATCTCCTGCCCGTTTACTCCCCTTCTTCGCCCGAAGATAAATCCTCGTGTGAGTGTAGAAAGCAGCTGCAATCTTTCGTAATACCCTCCTGGACCGAAACCGCCCTCTCTCAAAAGCCGCGTCACACCTCTCCACCCATATCTTATGTAAAGCGATGGCCGTGATTGTGGATTCCGGGAAGCCCGAGCTCGAGCCTTCCTTCTGAAACAGTAAACCCCCCAGCGAAGTGATTTTCCTGCCCGGGTTGATGATCCGAAGAGCCCTTAACAGCCCTCGCACCACTGGCTGAATCCTAGGGCAGCTGAACAAGCAGTGCTCCGCTGTCTCCTCCTCCCCACAGTGCGGGCATGTTACCTCCTCCAGGAATTTCAGTCTCACCCCGACTTGGAGATTACGACAATGCAGGCAAAGCAGGACATCCCGGGCTCGGTTCGGAAGCACCGCAGAGTCCCGCACCCTGATGACCCTTTTCCAGTCAATCGCACTTCCCCACTCGTCTGACCACTTCTCCTGCTGCTGCATCACCCCTTGCTGCGCGCCAAAAAGCAACCTCAGCTGCCTGAGAGGGGGGACCTGATCCTCCATGCAGAGCTCCGAGCAGCGCAGCCGTACCTCGGGTAGGCCGCCCGCTCCAATCACCCTTCCGCCCCTCACCATCAACGGCTCCACCTTGTCCAGGGGGAGAACCGCAATTGTCTCCGCCACCCCCACCAGGGGCGCGCCAAAACCGTCACATGCTCGGCAGGCAAGGCCATCTTGCACCACTTTCTCCGCCTTCCAGGCACCCACCAGGCCCTTCTTCTTCACGAAGGCCGACTCTGCCAAAAGCTCTTCTCCCATGATTGGCGCTACCAATTTCTCCTTCATAGCGGCCGGGACGCTCGCAAAAACCCTGAGCGCCCTCCTCGCTTTCTTGCGCGTGCCCAGCTCCTTTGTTAACAGCTTCTCATCCTTGAAGAAGAAACTGCCGTCCTCTGCTTGGCCGACAAAATCGCCGAGTTTCAAAAGTTCCAGCCCTTTCGCCGCTTCCTGCCGTCCAAGTGGTTTCTTTCCGTGGCAGGATTTGCCGATTAAACACCAGCGGCTCCTGCACAATGTCCCAGCGAGAGAGCGGGCCCTTCTTCGCAATGCTTGACTGCATAAACATTTTGCAAGTCTGCTTCCATCTGACGCTCCTACCCTTCCATGTTTTCAAGAACTCCGGATGTGCCCAGAAGGAGCGGAAGCCCGCAGGGAGGTCGGCCGCCTTTGTCGCCAACCAACTGCGCACCCCTCTTCTGACCAACACCAGCTTCCCCACCCTCCTGGCCGCGAGGCCGTTGAGCTCGACGAAAGGGTCACGTACCCCCAGCCCTCCGTCCTTCCGAGGTCTGAAGATCAATTCTCTGCTCCAGAGCATGAAGTGCCGCTCCGTCGACGCTTTATTGCCGGAGATGAAATTGACCAGCAACTTCATGATCCGCTTCCACACACTCTCTGACGGGGGGTAGACCTGCCCTTGAAACGCCAGGATTGGACAGACGTAGGCGTTAACCACCGCTACCCTCGCCGTCGTGGTTAGGTGGTGCGACAACCACTTCACGAGCTCCTCCGCCGCCCTGGCCAGCGCCTTATCCCAGGTAACTTCCGCGCTTCCAGAGGGGGAGACCCAGACCCCCAGAAGTCTTTCCGCATCTTTTGGGTTCACCCATGCGAAGTCTGATCCCTCATTCCTCGTCTCTTTCAGGTTAGCCCCCAGTGGGAGTAGCGCCGACTTGTCCTTGTTGACACGGAGGCCGGACCGAACTCCAAACTCCTCCAGCAGCTCCTCCGCTTTCTCAATCTGCCTCTTCCCCTTCAACACGAGCGTCGTGTCATCCGCGTATCCGAGGTAGGCCAATCTGTCGCCGTAGTCATCACAGATGCCTAACTTCCTGCGCTTTGCCTCCTGGCAGACCGGTTCCACCGCGCATAAGAAGAGATAGGGAGCCAGGGGACACCCCTGCCGAACCCCCTTGCGGACGTCCACCCGGTCTCCCAGCCACCCGTTCACCAGCAGACGCGTGAAGGAACCATCATGCAGCCCCTCGTACCACCGGATGAATTTACTCGGGAAACCCATCAGCGCCATCGTGTCAAATAAGAACGTACTCGACACAGAGTCAAACGCCTTCTGAAAATCGATCATTAGCAGGTACCAGTCCGCCCTGTCGTTGCTAGCAGCCTCTATCACATCCGCAACTGTCGACACCGCGTCCGAGAGCCGCCTGCCTGGAAGGAACCCGTGTTGTTCCTCCGAGATGACCGTGCCTAAAACTTGCTTCATGCGGTTAGCCAGCAGCTTCGCGACCACCTTGTAACAACTTGACAGCAAGGTAATCGGTCGATAATTCTGCACCTGCTCCCTTGGCCCCTTTTTGTGAAGCAGGACGGTCACTGCCTCCTGCACCTCCTCCGGAAGGACCGCCGAGGATTCGAACTAGTTAATAAAACCCATAAAGTCCTTCCTCAGCAGGTCCCAGTGGCGCTCGAAAAGCTCCTTCGGTAGACCGTCGCCTCCCGGGGACTTATCACACGCCATCTCCTTTAACGCCTTTTTCACTTCCTCCTCTGTCCAGTCAGCCTCAAGCTCCGTTTTCTCCTGATCTCCCAGTGTCTTCAGCGGGTCCGTCTTCCAGCATGGTAGGCCCGACGGAGGAGCATCTGCAAAGAGCTCCGCGTAAAAGCGGGAGGTGGCTTCCAGAATACCCCTCGTGCCCCTCTGCTCCACCCTTGCGAGGTCAAAACCGTGATCATCGTCCGCGTCTTTTTTGACTTCACTTTCGCCGACAGGACTCCCGACGCAATCTCACCCTTTGTTTCCTCTTTTACTCCCGCCAAGAGGTGCAGCCTGTCATTCTCCCCTTTCAGGTATGCCGCCAGTTGCGACTCTCTCTCCGCCAGGGTCACCCGAAGATCATCCCGCAGGGGGTTCCTCATCAGCTCCTGTTGCAACCCGGAAACTGCAAGTTCCAGGTGCCTCAAGGTCGCACGTATCCGCTTCCGTTCCTCCGCCGCATAACGTCTTAGCGCCGCTTTGAGCTTAGTGAGGAGATTGCCAAAACTGCCTGAAGCTTCTGCATGATGTCTCTCGATGACCGCTTTAATCACCTTTTCCACTCCTGGTTTTGCCGTGTCTGCAGATGGTAGCCGCCAGATGCCTGGACCCATGTGCAGCCTCAAGCTCGCCTGCAGCACCACCCTTACACCGCATTTGTGGTCCGAAATGCCGTTCAATGACCGAGTGTGAGCCGCCTCCACCACCGAAGGGAGCGGTTCAGCTGACACCAAAATTCGGTCTATCCTGGAGCTTGACTTCGTCGCTTTCGCATAAAAGGTGTACTCGCGGCCACTCGGGTTGAGCGTCCGAAACGCATCCACCATGTGCAGGCCGGTGAACAACTGCAGCATCCTGCCATTTTCCCCAGACGAACCCCCCCTCGGGGACTTGTCCAGGTCAGGGTCCTCTACAACATTGAGGTCCCCAACCAGCATCAGCTTGCCGTTGCAGTTCAACCCCGACAGGAACGGGCCCAGCACATCTCTGAAGAATATGACTCTGCTGCACGCACTCGCCGGAAGGTACGCCGCCAGAATCGCAAAGCCGGAAGTGTCCCATCTTGCTTCCGCATGAATGAGCCTCCCTGAGGCATGCATCGTAACATTCTCAAAGGTTAACTGCTTGTTGTTACTGACAATCGCCACTCCACCAGCCCTTTCCACATTTGCCACCGCCAGGCAGTGATGGAACTTCAACCGCTTCCAGCACTCGTGGTCCGGAGCAACCCTTGTGTCCGTAAGAACGTAGATATCTGCTTCCTTCTTTGTCCACTTTTTCAAGTTCCGTTGCTTGCCCCTACTCCCGAGCCCATTAACATTGAGCTCGCACACCGACAGCTTGCAGGCCTTATCCATTAATCAACCAGGTGAGAGCCCCATAGCATCCACGGGCTGAAAAAAGGTATCTGAAACAGAGCAAGTTACCACTATATCTCATTGCATACATGGCTTGTGAACATTGTACTAACAGGAACACCCCACTTCCTCTCCTCCTTGCAAAAACTCCTCTTAGATCCCGTACTCCTTGCGCAGCACATGGAGGCTCAGTTTGTTCTTGAGAACACGCGTGGCAGCGCCCTGCTTCACCAGCCCTCCCCGATGACGCTGGGAAAGCGCATGATGAGCAGCCTGCTCGAAGGAGGAGCCCTTCGCCTTCTCGCAACACCAGCAGGCAGACCCATTCCTCCCTGTTCCCTGCCGTTGAGACCAACACCAGCGCAGGATCCTTGAGGATGATCCTGGTTGTCGTGGTGGCTACAGTCGCAGTCGCTGCACGAAAGGGAGATACGCAGCTGGAAAGCAGAAACCGCCAAGAGCAGGAATGAAGCGACATCACGAGCAGGAAAAACATGTAAGTGCGAAACACCGTCTCTACCGTTGAGCTCCTGGATCCTCCCCACTGTGAGGTTCCATTTGGAGATGTTGTTCTGGCGCTCTGTGATGAAGTCGTTATGGTTATGCACAGAGTGCATCCCCCCGCAGAGCGAACACTTCAGGGCCGGGTAATGCACCATGATCTTCGCTCCAGGTGATATCGGACTCTCGAACTGGTGCAGCCACCGAAACTGATCATTCTCATGAGCGATCACCAATCCCTTCACCCGGTCAGTGTCAAGCCCCGAAACAGGGTGCACCACGCGATGGAAGTGGAAGCCCTCCTTAAAGGCCGGACGCTTGCAGATCTTCAGCGGAGAGATAGCGAGCGCCTCATGCAACATCTCCGGGGAAATCTCCGCAGCAATCCCGTGGAACAGCACTTCAATAACGGTCTGGTCAGTGATCTTCCTCCTTGTGTACCATGGGTCTTCTGGATAAAGCCAGTCCAGGAAGATGTACTTCCCGTCAACACACCGATGCTCAACACGGTTGCGCCAGACAAAATTAGCATCAGAAGCATTAACGAAGATAACTTGCATGCGACCGAAAAGCTTCTTTGCAATAAAGCCCGGATCCAGTTCCTGACTTGCATGGGCCCTGCCACGCTCGCAACAGTGCGAGGGCACACGCGCGGGCCTGAGGGCCCACACTCACGATCAGGACCCCACGCGCGGGTCCTGACTTTCTCGCGCAGTTGACTTTGACTGACGCGAAATTATCTCGCGAACACTCGCGACTCTTCACGAACACAAACGAAAACAGAGAAACAGAAACAAACATGAACGCTCACAAACACTCATGAACACATTCGCGCACTTCACACGAATTCACGAACACAGAAATTCACGAGCATAAAATCAACGCACACTCATGACAACTCGCAAAACAACGTAAACGCATACGAAACCTTGCAATCACTCATGGACTTTCACGAACACTCAGGAACGCAACCTTTCACGAAAACGCACATAACTCATGAACCGTCGAGGCGATTCAAGAGCCGTAAACACTCAAACGTAAAGCACGAAAATGCGCAACTCACACACAACAAATTACCTTCAGAACAAACACCTCACTTTCACTCGACGTCGACGAATAGGTGGTAGGTTGTCGTGCAAACCATGTATTGCACTCAACAAACTCCCCCACAACCTGCCGACTATTCGAACCCACATCCGTCACTCACGGATTCTACAACTCCCTTCACCACTTCCATCATTGGCACAGGAGATTTTACATCCTTGCCCAATAGCTTCCCCTTTTCGTCTAACTCCAGGTTTTCACGGTCGATCAGCTCCACCCCATTGCCAATCCCAGCACCAGTTTTAGGGAAGACACTCTCACTCTCCCCCACAATTTCAGCTTCCACATCATCTGCTGCAACCACTTGCAGCCTCACCGAAGTATTGTCG